AGAGAGAGAGAGAGGACACATACTCACACCCATATGACCGTAGGCGCGCACACACACTCATGTGTTGTGGCAAATTCTATTGCCTGTGATTCCTGAATTACTTTCTGAGAGCATATTTCAGGACACTTATTCACATTTCTTCTGTTAATCAATCTGATGAAATTCCTGCTCATAACATATGTGTTTTGATTTTCTCAACTGTATTTTGTTGTTTTTTTTTTTAAAAAGGCCCCTAATAGAAATTCCCCGGAAATAATTTACAGGTCTAATGAATTTGTAGGTCTCTTAGACAGTTCTACATTACAGTCATATTAATATGCTCTTCTTTTTATAAGACTTGAAGTAAATCCCATGACACTAGAAGAATTTAGATACTGATTACTTGCGATTGGTTCCTGGTGATTTGCTCTTAATAATTTCCAGTTGAATTTAATGAAAGTATGATTCCTGAAATGCTACTTCATTAAAATTGCATCTTTTCCCCTTTAAGTGTGGCTTTGGTCATTTCATCCATTTTGCGGTGTGCTTTCCTCCCCCTTAAAAAGTAATGACTGAGAAAAAGAAACAATTAAGAATATCACTTTAGTTCTTCCTCTGACTCACCCCCCAGAGTTTCTCTGAGTGAAATGATGAAAGCTGCACCTCCCTGTCAGGATTTTACGATTTTTTTCAATGTCATGAGATTACTTTAAGAAATCAAGTTTTAAAGATTTCAGGGGACTGAGGTAAACTGGAGAAAGAGTGTTGCATATACAAGAAAAGTAAGTCCTTTGGTGTTTTTACTAAAAAAGTATAATTCTTGATTAAGTTACACCATGCAGTATTCAGACTTAATTTAACTGAGGTGGTGATTTGCAAGTGAATATCTACATGGATTCTTTTTAAAAAATCCAAATGCAAATGAGTACAACTGCAGTAAAATATATTTGCAAATGAATCCTGTTGCTTTATTCATTTATTGTGTAATTACTGCAATCCTTCCCACCTTGTTTTCAGTATTTCTTAATCATTAAGTCGGAAGCATGACAGCAGTGCCAGCCCTGGCATGATTCTCTTTGACTAAAACCTTGTAAATTAACACAATTAGCACAGCATCATCCTGCTAATTAACTTCCAGTGTCTGGTGCAGTGGTTTTGCAAACAAGGAAGAAGGAGTCAGAAGGGAATCAACATGCCATTCTGTTACCAAACTCTGTGCTGTGTTCAGTTTAGCTCAGTAAGTCAAAGCTGGCCGTGTCAGAAGCCAGAATCAGGCAATGAAGAGCTAAAGGGGGTGGAGGAGAAAAGCTGAAGGGGGTAGGAACTGTCAAAATAGACTACAGTAATTCAGAAGGGAGATGATGCCACAGCTGCTTCATTTAGACCAGGCCTCCTTCTTATCAAAGAATATCTGCCAGAAGGCACCAGGCAGTTTGTAAAATTCACTTTGGGTAATACAAAAGAGATTAAAGAGGCCTGCTTAATATAGCTGTACCAGAATAGGAAGTGTTCTAACCCAGCAGAGATTAGAATGAGATGAGCCAGCACCTGGTGATAGGATGGGTTTCAGTGTTCTTCTGTAACTAACTAGATGTGCATCCCCAAGGGGACATTGTAAGTCCCTTTGGCCACTAGTACCCTAATCTGTGAAACAGAGTAACTTCTAAGGTCTGTTAAAACTTTAAAATTCAAATGAATCCCCACGGCCAATGCTTACTGTTTTCTCTTCAGTGAGAAGAGTCATGTTTCATTCACTTAATCTGGCAGGTAATAAAATTATCCATATCTTCTTCTTCTCTAGGTGCATTCTCTCAAGTTTTACCATGCAGTACTTTCTGTGAAAATATAAAGAATTAGGATCCAGATTCTCAATTCTTACCTGTGCTCTCCTCTCTCACCCCCCTCCCTACTTCTTTCTCCGTGTGTGTATGTGTGTGTATATATTTTCCCCTTCCATTCCTCATACCTTGCAGGCTCTAAGACGGAGGGAAGGATTATCAGAAGGAGGGAAAACACTAGCTAGAAGACCGACAGACAAGTGATGCTTGTTTTTTTTTTTCAGAAACTCGACAACAGAACTGAGAGGCAGAAAGGAGCCAGTTGTAATTCATACCGAGTTGTAGGCTTTGTGCGATGAAAGCGATGGAGCGCTGCCTGGGAGATTGCTTTGCTGCACTCCACGAAGCAGATTTGAAACTGTCGTGGACCACTTTAGATGAGAGTTGGATTATGGAATGACCTGCTATGTCTGTGTCATATTGTTCTGCGCAGGGAGCATTATACTGTGCTAACTAGGTGTTCAGTACCAAATAAGAGAGGTACCCTAGATGTGATCTGTCAGCTGTGTCTCATTTTTATATTGGTTAAAATATAAAACAGAAACTGTGATGTGAAGAGACAGCACATGCTAATACTGATATAGATATTGCACATGCTAATACTGCCACGTGCTAGATATTTAAAATATACGCATATTTTACTGTAAGAACCTGTGATTGAATTCTAGCCTGACAGGAATGTGTGTGTACATATATATATATATATATATATCTGTGTGTGTGTGTGTGTGTGTGTGTGTTTTGCCGGTGTGTAGGAAATGACTTAATAGATTTAATTGATATAGACTTGCTTACTACCTAAAAAGATCTTCTGAAGAGTTTTTGTTCCAATTCTATTTACTTTTTACACAGGATTGAAATTCCGTCCATGGCAAACTGTTCATATTGTTGAGATCATAATAGATATGGGAAATCTTTTACCCATGTCATTATCATTCATGGAAAATAATGGGTAATGAGAATTTGGGGAGGCCATCTTAAACAGTTTGGATAAGTATCTAAATAAATGAACTTTTCCCTCCCCCAAATCCCTAGGCTTGAAGATGCAGTGGACGCCGGAGCATGCCCAGTGGCCAGAACAGCACTTTGACATCACTTCAACCACTCGGTCTCCTGCCCATAAAGTTGAAGCCTACAGAGGTCATTTGCAGCGCACCTATCAGTATGCCTGGGCCAATGATGATATATCTGCTCTGACTGCATCCAACCTACTAAAAAAATATGCAGAGAAGTATTCTGGCATTTTGGAAGGCCCCGTGGACCGACCTGTACTCAGCAACTACTCAGATACACCATCAGGACTAGTGAATGGTCGGAAAAATGAAAGCGAACCCTGGCAGTCTTCCTTGAATTCAGAAGCTGTGTATCCCATGAACTGTGTTCCCGATGTTATCACTGCCAGCAAAGCTGGAGTCAGTTCAGCTCTCCCTCCAGCAGACGTCTCTGCCAGTATAGGGAGCTCTCCTGGGGTGGCCAGCAACCTGACAGAACCAAGTTATTCAAGTAGTACCTGTGGAAGCCACACTGTACCTAGTCTTCATGCAGGGCTCCCATCTCAGGAATATGCCTCCGGATACAACGGATCATATTTGCATTCTACGTACAGTAGCCAGCCAGCACCTGCACTTCCTTCCCCTCATCCGTCTCCTTTGCATAGCTCCGGGCTCCTACAGCCGCCACCGCCACCTCCTCCTCCACCAGCCCTGGTCCCAGGCTACAATGGCACTTCTAACCTCTCCAGTTACAGCTATCCCTCAGCGAGCTATCCTCCTCAGACTGCTGTGGGATCTGGGTACAGCCCTGGGGGTGCACCCCCTCCTCCTTCAGCATACCTGCCTTCAGGAATTCCTGCGCCGACCCCTCTCCCCCCGACCACTGTTCCTGGCTACACCTACCAGGGCCACGGTTTGACACCTATCGCGCCCTCAGCTCTGACCAACAGTTCCGCGAGTTCTCTCAAAAGGAAAGCTTTCTATATGGCAGGGCAAGGAGATATGGACTCCAGTTACGGAAATTACAGCTATGGCCAACAGCGATCTACACAGAGTCCTATGTACAGAATGCCCGACAACAGCATTTCAAACTCAAATCGGGGGAATGGCTTTGACAGAAGTGCTGAAACATCATCCTTAGCATTTAAGCCAACGAAGCAGCTAATGTCCTCTGAACAGCAAAGGAAATTCAGCAGCCAGTCCAGCAGGGCTCTGACCCCTCCTTCCTACAGTACTGCTAAAAATTCATTGGGATCAAGATCCAGTGAATCCTTTGGGAAGTACACGTCGCCGGTAATGAGTGAGCATGGGGACGAGCACAGGCAACTCCTCTCTCACCCAATGCAAGGCCCTGGACTCCGTGCAGCTACCTCATCCAACCACTCTGTGGACGAGCAACTGAAGAACACTGACACGCACCTCATTGACCTGGTAACCAACGAGATTATCACCCAAGGACCGCCAGTGGACTGGAATGACATTGCTGGTCTCGACCTGGTAAAGGCTGTCATTAAGGAGGAGGTTTTATGGCCGGTGTTGAGGTCCGATGCGTTCAGTGGACTGACGGCCTTACCTCGGAGCATCCTTTTATTCGGACCTCGGGGAACAGGCAAAACATTGTTGGGCAGATGCATAGCTAGTCAGCTGGGGGCCACGTTTTTCAAAATCGCCGGTTCTGGACTAGTCGCTAAGTGGTTAGGAGAAGCAGAGAAAATTATCCATGCCTCTTTCCTTGTGGCCAGGTGTCGCCAGCCCTCGGTGATTTTTGTCAGCGATATTGACATGCTTCTCTCCTCTCAAGTGAGTGAGGAGCACAGTCCAGTCAGTCGGATGAGAACCGAATTTCTGATGCAGCTGGACACTGTACTAACTTCGGCTGAGGACCAAATCGTAGTAATTTGTGCCACCAGTAAACCAGAAGAAATAGATGAATCTCTTCGGAGGTACTTCATGAAACGACTTTTAATCCCACTTCCTGACAGCACAGCGAGGCACCAGATAATAGTACAACTGCTCTCACAGCACAATTACTGTCTCAATGACAAGGAGTTTGCACTGCTCGTCCAGCGCACAGAAGGTTTTTCTGGACTAGACGTGGCTCATTTGTGTCAGGAAGCAGTGGTGGGCCCCCTTCATGCCATGCCAGCCACAGACCTTTCAGCCATTATGCCCAGCCAGTTGAGGCCAGTTACATATCAAGACTTTGAAAATGCTTTCTGCAAGATTCAGCCTAGCATATCTCAAAAAGAGCTTGATATGTATGTTGAATGGAACAAAATGTTTGGTTGCAGTCAGTGATAACTTCTTTAAAAAAGAAAATGTAATGAATGTTGGCACACACACATAAAACCTGCTACATAGGGTTTAGAGCCCCTTTCCAGTAGTGTTTAAATCGCAAAAGGGTACTGGGGAAGACGACGATTAAATTGCATCTTTAGAGTCAGGGTAGATGTGGAGGAAAAAAGGCATCAAGCGAGAGCTTCTGATTTGAAAGCCCCAGATGACAGAAAGCATCTATTGATGCTCAGTTTGGTTCAAGTTAGACAACACTCACCAAGGAGCAAGGTGCAAGTGTGTTGATTTCAGAAGGACATGAACCTCGTGTGTTGATTCCATTCTGCTGTTCTCGAGATTTAGTTGCTGTCAAGTGCCTGGAGTGGTGCTTTATTTTTTGTTTGCCTCACAATTACATTGGTGGCATGTGCTAATATAAAGAGCTTTAACTTCAAACATTATTGGACTAAAGAGATGAACGGTTGTGTTATGACAGAAAACCAGATTTTTGCCATTTAAGAGCAACAGTATTCCTCAATCCTGTCTGTTCTGCAGTATTAAACTAAGAACAGGTAAAACAGGGTAACGGTAATCTGGACCTTAATTTCTGCAGTTCATTTCTTTTAATGTTCTTGTCTGCAAAAACTCAGGAAAGCGATTGTGATTTGTACAGTACCTCAAAGGAATGTGTTGAAAGCACTATGTACTGCTGAGAGTAATGGGATAGGCTTCAATGTTACTTTATATTAAAATGTATGTTTACCTCAACAATTGGAAAATAGCAAGGAAAATTTCTTTGAATGTATCCAGAAAAATACTGATGTGTGATACAACTGAAAATATTTACAATTTAAAGGAGAACTAAAAGGATTTTAAATCAAAGTTCTTTTACTGATTATGGGGAATTAACCAGAGCAGAATAATTCTTTATGTCAATAATTGCAAGAGTTCGTCGTACATTGCTCCTTGATATTAAGTGAAAATGGTCTTAAAAGGTACACTGGTTAGTGGAAAGCTACTTTTCCGTTTGTGTTAGTGTCTAAAACAGTCCGTCACAAGACTTGTTTAGGACCCTGAAAGTCACAGTACCTGAAAACAAGGACTGCCTTTTACTGCATAGGTGATAGTAGTGGTGGTGGTTTGCAAGTTATCTCTTAAAACTGCTGGGAATGGTGTCATTCTGTTCACTAATCTAGCTTATAGGCTCACCGTGATGTTTGATAGAATGCAGAAGATAGCAACCAAAACAATCAAATGATTCGATACAAAAACCCAATCAACCAACCAACATATATACATATATATATTCATACATATATACATACATATATTCATGTATGTATGTATACCACAAGGAAACTCTACATCCCTTCTCCTTTTTGATCCCTCTCTTGTCAGTGCAATTTTGCTTCTCGTTTTGAAATCTTCTGTGCTGTGTTCCTCCTACATTCATTTCTACCTCAGTTTTGTTACATTTCTCTTAGGAAAAAAAAAAGTAGAAAATTGGAAAAGACACACACAAACATACACGAGCACACAACCCCGCGGATGGTTTTCTAAACATGTTACTGTTTCCTCCACCTTTTCCCATGAATCTAGTTTCTGCAGACATCAGCCTTCATGCTTACTTCCATCTCAGCCCACCCCCGCCCAATAGCATATGTGGTGTTTTGTTGTTGTTGTTGTTTTTGTCATTTCCCATTCTCTCCTGCTCCCCACCAAGTTGTTCTTTGTATCCTTTAATGCTTTATGTGCAACTTCTCATCTGTAGCTGACTGACGTTGGGCAATGCCTCTGAGCAGACGGTGTAGGCTGTAGCTTTCCAAAGCCTCTGCCTGTGCATAGCAAAACAGCCTTGCTTTTTGAATGTATTTTTCTTTTTTTTTTTTTCTTCTTCCCCTTTTCAACTGAGAAATGCAGTAGCAAAACTGTTGCAAAGCACTGGCGATTTATGTATTCAAAAAGTGATGTACATTTTTAAAAAATTTAAATAAATGCAATGAGAAGCCCCAAGAAAGGTCTTTCTGTTATTGTTTTTTTTTCCTTCAAAAATTTTTACTGATTTCACCCACGATGTCAAATTACTGATACACTTAAAGAAAGCTATGATGGACTTCTTAGTCTTTACTCCCCTTTTTTCCCATTTTTCATGTTGAATAATCTGAGTGAATGAACCAGAAATCAATTTACTATAATACTTTATCAATTAAAACTGTGCTTACATATAAATATTCCATATTAAAAAGCAGTGCCTTTCATTAAGGATACAAAAGGATACAAAAAATACTATTTATGTCCTTTGCTTTTCACAAGTGAATAAACACTACAGACGTGTTCTACCCTGCACAGCTCTTGTTGTAAGGAAATTCTAATATCCCCATTAACTTGTAGGTTCATATTGATCTCACTGACAAGTTTACTTTGCACAGTGCTGACCTATTTTCTGTCTTTTAGACATTACATTTCATTTCCGCCAACATGCTGTGTTCACATGAAAGTAACTGGCAAGTTTTGACAAACCCGGTCTTATTTAGACAACTTTGGAAAATCTAATGCTGACCCACACTTTTGGGGGGGACTCCTCCCAGATAGTTAATGCCAAATATATGACTGCACTATTGTGTTTTACACTCATTTATAAAACTAAACATAACGTCATGCCTATTGGCATTTAGCTTTAAATAACTTTAAAAAGAAGTTTGTCATAAGAGTGGTCAAAATCCATGTATTTAGGAAGAAGCTGAAGTTATGTGTGAATTTCATTTAGCCTCAGAATTCTAGGATTTGGTCTCTTAGGAAATCGGTCATGAAGAAAGAGGTGAAGATCTTTTGGGGACACAGGCAGACTTTTGTATAGATGTTACTTTCTTGTGAGTCTTATTCTGCATGGTGGTATTATGAGCTCTTCTAGGTACTCTCCTAACAATGAGCTTCTTTCTCACCATTCCTTCTGGGGCTTAGGGTGGGGTCCGGGATTTGCATCCTCAGAAGTGTAAACATTCTTGTACAATCAATGATAGTACAACTGAGTCATCCAGGCTTCATACTCTTGGCCTCTTTTAGACTGCTAAGAATTTGGAGAAGGCTACTACTAATGAAGGTAAGGTAATGAAGCAGTCCAAATCCCATGCCCTCTGACAGGAGACTGAGCCAGCCCATTTAACAGCCCCTAATTCTTTTCACGACTGCTAGAACATTTCCAAATGGGACAAAAAAGAAGTAAAGGAAACTACTTCAGTTGAGGGATCAATAGAAATTCAGGAGGCAATTCATAATGACCTTATGTATGACACAAATGGAAATACTCATTTCTGGCATGCTTCTCACCAAAATATTTGGAACATTAGTGACAACATGGAAAACTTTGCTGACTGAGCTGATCAATGGAATGTGAAGGCAGTATACTTTAAGGCTATTTACTTTCACACAGAATGTTTATCTATTAGTCAGTTTGTATTCTACTCAAATGCAGATAGACGGGTATAATGTTTTCTTCTGCATTTGAAACCTATCAAGGAGAAAATAAACCATTCCACTAAAATACATAGGCCAAACACCATCTGGGCAAGTGATAAAAGCTATCCAGAGGCTATACTATGTAAAGTAGCAAGGTCAATTTACATGGGTTGCATAGTACTTGGCTATGCAGTTTTCAAAAGAATACTTCCCAAAAAAATAAATAAAAAGAGTCTAAATTAATTCCTACAATAGGTCTTTGTAAATTTAAATATATTTATGGTTTGGAAAATATGTTTTAGAGACATTTGGAATTTCTCTGAAAATGTGTCCAACTGCAGGCAGAAAGATAGTTCTATAATCCCATTCTCATGTTTCTTAGCAAGAATTGGTTATCATAATTATCAAAACTGTTATTTTGCAAAGTGAAAGGGACACAGTCTGTTGAATTATTGAGGCCACTAAAGTTCTAATATATATATATATATAAATATATATATAAAAATTAGTGTGTGTGTCTGTGTGTATGTATGTGTGCCATTTTCACTACCACCTATTTCAACTTTAACATCTATTTTGCATTAATCAGAAGCAACTGGTTTCTTCCTTTTCTTCATATGTGCAAAGATACACACGATCACTTTATAATTCAGCAAGTATTCTTTTAAAAAGTAAAGACTTCAGTTATCAAGTGATCTGCCAATTTTTAATATGAAGCACATTAGCAAACATGGAGCTATTAGTATTTCAGAATTCAAAACCAGCTGTACTTGTGACTAACCAACACATGAACTAAAGCTCACACTCTGCTAAGACCTCTGGTTGACATTCGATTTTGAACCTGCCAGATGCATTTGTGTGAACCAGGGATACTGCATCTTTAATGAACAAGTCTCTCCTCTTTCCCCTGTTTTTAAATACAACACAAGCAGTGTAGCACCAGGCACTGCAATTGTCAAAGACAATTAGAGTGAAAGCAGGAAAATTTCACCTCCCTGTCTCAGTGATATGTAGAATGTGGGCAGCATGGGTCAGCCTTGCCACAGAGTTGTGTGAGAATATATGAATCAGTTCCATAGAATGTTAAATATTTATAAAATGGTTCTGTAGTACACCAAGGTTGGGAGCACATTCATTCTTTCTTGTTGTCTTATGATACAGAAAAGGTAAAGTTTATCTAGGCTTAAAATCCCCTTTCTCTTTCTCTGTTTCTTTCGTGTTCTCTCTCTCTCTCTCTGTCTCCACCCTCCACTTTTTCCCTCTCTCCCTCTCCTGTGCGCATGTGTGCGTGTTTCCTTGTGAATTATATACAGTTGCTAGAGAATATTCATTTCCTTTTTCCTTTTTTCATCTGACCTATATTCAAGCATTGTTCTTTATAACCATTTCTACCTCATTGCTACATATTGTACATGTAGTATTTATTTGTTGTCTTTTTTTGAATGTCATGCATTTCGTAAG